GCTCTCCCTGCCCATTCCAGGCTCTCCCAGCCCACTCCAGGCTCTCCCAGCCCATTCCAGGCTCTCCCAGCCCATTCCAGGCTCTCTCTGCCCATTCCAGGCTCTCTCTGCTCGTTCCAGGCTCTCCCAGCCCATTCCAGGCTCTCTCTGCCCATTCCAGGCTCTCTCTGCCCATTCCAGGCTCTCCCAGCCCACTCCAGGCTCTCCCTGCCCATTCCAGGCTCTCTCTGCCCATTCCAGGCTCTCCCAGCCCATTCCAGGCTCTCCCAGCCCATTCCAGGCTCTCCCTGCCCATTCCAGCCTTGGCATCTCCCCCAGAGCAGCTCTGGAGCTCTCTGCTCCTGCAGAAATTCAGCCTCTGGCAATCCAGCTGCTTTTCCAGCTGCTTTTCCCTCTGAAAATTGAGTGGGAAAACGAATCCAGGAGTGTTGGACCCCACCACGATCCGGGTTGTTTTTATCCCTGCTGGAATTCCCTCCTCTCTCACTTTTGGGGATGGTTCCCAGCGCTGTTTGTCCTTTTGTCCCCGTTCTCCTGCTGCAGCTCCCAGCTGTTCCATTGGAAGGGAGGAACATCCCTTTGGAATTTCCCTTGGAGTCTGATCCTGGCTGCTGCTGCCACCCTGCGTGCTGGGCAGGGCACGACATCCCTGCCCCCTTCCCAACCCTCTGAGCCCGGGATTCAGGGATCGATCCCAGGGATCCTAGGGATTCAGGGATGATGGGGATTACAGGGATCACAGGGATTCAGGGATCATATGGCTCTCAGGGATGATGGGGATTCAGGGATCATATAGATACAGGGATCTCAGGCATTCAGGGAGGATGGGGATTCAAGGATACAGGGATCTCAGGGATGATGGGGATTCAGGGATCACAGGGATCTCGGGTAGAGGGATTCAGGGGATCACATGGATTAAGGGATCACACAGATTCAGGGAGGATGGGGATTCAAGGATACAGGGATCTCAGGCATACAGGGATCACATGGATTCAGGGATCACAGGGATCTCAGGGATCTCAGGTAGAGGGATTCAGGGGATCACATGGATCCAGGGATCACACAGATTCAGGGATGATGGGGATCACATGGATTCAGGGATGGGGATTCAGGGATCACAAGGATCTCATGGATTCAGGGGTCACACGGATTCAGGCATCACAAGGATCACAGGGATATTGGGCATATATGGATTCAGGGATCCAGAGATCACAGGGATCTCAGGGGTTCAAGGATCCTAGAGATTCAGGGATCCCAGGGATCTCAGGTACATGGATTCAGGGATTCAGGGATCTCAGGGATACATGAATTTCAGGGATTCAGGGGTCCAGGGATCTCAGGGGTTATGGGATTCAGGGATCTCAGGGATTACAGGGGTTCAGGGATCTCAGGGGTTATGGGATCCAGGGATCCCAGGGATCTCAGGGATCCCATGGATCCATGGATGCAGGCTCAGGCTGTGCTGTGCTTCCCCTGCAGACTCTGCACATCGGCAGTTCCCACCTGGCCCCCCCGAAGCCGGACAAGCAGTTCCTGATCTCTCCCCCGGCGTCTCCGCCCGTGGATTGGGAGCAAGTGCAGGACGCCACTCCCGTCATCAACTACGACCTCCTGTATGCCATCTCCAAACTGGGGCCAGGTGAGGACATGGCAAACACCCCACAACCTCCTCAGTGCTCTAAAACCCTTCCAGAAAATTGATTCCTGTTTATTTATATTTCTGTGTCTTTTTGGTTTTATTTCTATTTTTATTTCTATTTTTATTTCTATTTTTATTTCTATTTTTATTTCTATTTCTATTTTTATTTTTATTTTTTTATTTTTATTTCTATTTTTATTTCTATTACTATTTTTATTTCTATTTCTGTTTTTATTATTTCTATTTTTATTTCTATTTCTATTTTTATTTCTATTTTTATTATTTTTATTTTTATTTTTATTTCTATTTTTATTTCTATTTTTATTATTTCTATTTCTATTTTTATTTCTATTTTTATTATTTTTATTTTTATTTCTATTTTTATTTCTATTTCTATTTTTATTTCTATTTCTATTTTTATTATTTCTATTTCTATTTTTATTTCTATTTTTATTATTTTTATTTTTATTTTTATTTTTATTTCTATTTCTATTTTTATTTCTATTTCTATTTTTATTATTTCTATTTCTGTTTCTATTTTTATTTCTATTTTTATTATTTTTATTTCTATTTTTATTTCTATTTCTATTTTTATTTCTATTTTTATTTCTATTTCTATTTTTATTTCTATTTTTATTTCTACTTCTATTTTTATTATTTTTATTTTTATTTCTATTTTTATTTTTATTTCTATTTTCATTTTTAGTTTTATTTCTATATTTATTTCTATTTTTATTTCTGTTTTTATTTACATTTTTATTTCTGTTTTTACTTCTATTTATTTTTATTTCTATATATATTTCTATTTTTATTTCTGTTTTTATTTCTGTTTATTTTTATTTCTATTTTTATTTCTATTTATTTTTATTTCTATTTATTTCTAGTTATGTTTTTATTTATTTATAATTTGTTATTTATTTATATTATTTTAAAAAATATTTTTATTTCTATATTTATTTATATTTATATTTTCTTTGTTTATATTTTCTATTTATTTCTATTATTTCTCTTTATTTCTGTTTCTATTTATTTCTATTTATTTTATTTATTTCTGGTTTTGTTCCTGTTTATTTTTATTCCTATTTATTTTAATTTTTATTTCTATTAATTTTTATTCCTATTTCTATTTTTTATTTTCTTCCTGTTCATATTTTCTATTTCTATTATTTGTATTTCTATTTTTTTCTATTTATATCTATTTATTTTTATCTATTTGTTTTTATTTCTATTTATATTTATGTCTATTTATTTTATTTCTATTTTTATTTCTATTTTTACTTTCTGTTTATATTTTCTATTTATATTATTTCTATTTCTATTTATTTATATATATCTAAATATTTATTTTTATCTATTTCTGTTTTTATTCCTGTTTATTTTTATTTCTATTTATTTATATTTCTATTTATTTTTATACCTATTTCTATTTTTCTTTCTATTTTTCTTTTCTTTCTGTTTATATTTTCTATTTCTATTTATTTCTATTTCTGTTTATTCCTATTTCTCTTTCTATTTATTTTTATCTATTTCAGTTTTTATTCCTATTTATTTTTATTCCTATTTATTTTTATTCCTAGTTAATTTTGTTCTTAATTATTACGAAATATTGTTACCAAACATTTTATTTCACAATTTTTACATATTGTAAAATTTAGACACAATCTTTATATCTTATAAAATTTAGACACAAGTTTTAAAATATTATAAAATGTATATATATATTATAAAATTTAGACACAATTTTTAAATTTTTATATAATTTATACACAGTTTTTATACATTTCTACCCAATTTTTTATATAATTTTAAATTCATCCAGAACTTTTTACATTTTATCATTTTTCCATCCTGGAAAATCCACTTCCCATCAAATCCCTCTGGCTGCTCTCGATTTTTCCCCTTTATTCCTCCCCCGTTTTCCCATTTCCAACCCCATTCCAAAGGCTCCGTGTCCTGTTCCCTCAGGAATCTTTCCTAAAGGAATTTTTCCCTCAGGAATTTTTCCCTCAGGAATTTTCCCTTAAGGAATTTCTCCCCCCTAAGGAATTTTTTCCCATCGAGGGAATTTTCCCCCCTAAGGATTTTTTCCCACCTCAGGAATTTTCCCCTAAGGAATTTTCCCTAAGGAATTTTTCCCGCCTAAGGAATTTACCTTAAGGAATTTCTCCTAAGTTATTTTTCCCTAAGGAATTTTTCCCCCTTAAGAAATTTTTCCCTAAGCAATTTTTCCCCCTAAGGAATTTTTCCCTAAGTTACTTATCCCTAAGGAATTTTTCCCCCCTAAGGAATTTTTCCCTCCTAATTTATTTTTCCCAAAGTTATTTTTCCCCTAAGGAATTTTTCCCCCTTAAGGAATTTTCCCCTAAGGAATTTTTTCCTAAGGAATTTTCCCCCCCTAAGGAGTTTCCCCTAAGGAATTTTCCCTCCCTAATTTATTTTCCCCTAAGGAATTTTTCTCTAAGGAATTTTTCCCCCTAAGGAATTTTCCCCATAGGAATTTTTCCCTAAGGAATTTTCCCCCCTAAGGAATTTTTCCCCCCTAAGGAATTTTTCCCCCCTAAGGAATTTTTCTCCCCTAATTTATTTTCCCCTAAGGAATTTTCCCCTAAGGAATTTTCCCCCCTAAGGAATTTTCCCCCCTAAGGAATTTTCCCCCCTAAGGAATTTTTCCCTAAGGAATTTTTCCCTAAGGAATTCTGCTCCATTTCCAGGTGACAAGTACGAGCTGCACGCCGCCACTGCCACCACTCCCAGCGTTGTCGTTCACGTGTGTGACAGCGACAGCGACCTCGCGGGGG